TTAATTAAAACTTTAGAATAACTTTATTTTAATATATCATTGTAAAAATTAAAAAAAAATTATATTTGATTTGATTCGATCAATTTGATTTGATTTGATTCGATTTTGAGAAACCCTAGTCTAGAGTAAAGCGTAAGGTGTTTTACTCAAAAAGTTGAGTGATATATGATTGGTTACTTTCATTACACAAGCTTCAGACTTATCAATGGTTTTATTCCCTAGTTAATTGTATTATTCTAATAAAAATATAATAAAATATAGAGTATTAATATTTTCTTTTTAAAAAATTTAATTTTTCCTTATGCTAATCCTATTAGTGATGGCAAATGATCAGGTTATTTGACTATTTTAAAATGATTTTTAAATAACCTTAAATAACCTGATCACTTGTCATTTAAGTTATTTACAGTATTTGCCAAATTGAATATTATTAATCAAAACATATCTAAATCATTCACAGAAAAGGGTTGATGAGATATACTTATAATACTGTTATTAGATGGACAAAAAATCATATAAAACCTCAATACTTGATAAAAAACTTAAATTATATGTAGATTTAAAAGAAGGAAAAGATCCTAATAAAAAAAAGACAAAAAATTACAAAGATCATATACATTAGGGGAAAATAAATTTCTTTGAACTTGTTGTATGGTTAGGATTAAGACTCAGAGGTCTATATATGATAAAGTACCTGCAAATGTGATTGACAAGAGTATTGATGAACTAGAGAAAATTTGTACAATAAAATTTAGAAGCTGCTAAATCTAAGAAAGATTTATGTCAAACAATGACCATTCGTGCACAAAAATTTTCAACAAATAAATGGAACCATTTTATTATCAAAACGATATAAACCCAATGAATTTAAGGATGGATTTCATTTTGAAACAGAGAAATTATAATAACAAGAGATAGATTGTGATTGTAAATTTACATATATACAAAAGACAAATGAATAAACTCCATTCATGTGATTTTCATCAACAAAAGGTGATCTCATATCAAAAAAAGACAAACTGGCTCAAACGAAAGAAAAAAAAAGCATTACGTATTGACAAAGCTATTTTTCATATGCAAAAAAAAAATTACAGAATGAGATTCATCGAAAAACAATCAAGTTCTTAACTGATGAATTTGATGTAATTATTATTCCCCCTTTTTGAGGTTTCAAATATGGTGAATGGATAAACACGAAAGATAAGAAGGAAAACAGTTAGGAAGATGATTTGTTGGTTTCATTACAAGTTTCGACAACGTTTGATTTCAAAAGCGGAAGAGAAAGGTGTGGTTGGTGTGGAAATATTCAGAATATGGAAGGATCAAAAACATATAAATGTAAAAATTGCAATATAAAAAATAGACGATATTAATGGTGCCCGGGGATATTCCCCTCGGGCTTTGCTTGATGGAGCCTTGATTCTCTCCGGAGATCATGCAGGCAATACTCATCCGTTAATTACACTATCACGTATATTTCAGTACATGTGTAATTTAATTTAATGTAATAAATAAAACACGCTTGTGATATGAATTATTCTTGAATAACAAATTTGATTTTATAATTAATAAGTTAAAATTCGAAAAAATAATAAAATCTATAATTTTGCTATGATTTGAAAAAATATTGTAATATCAAAATTATAAATAAATTTTTATATGTTACCACGATACAACATAACTTTTTACCTAATGATTTTTTTTTTAAAAAAAAATGATTATAAATATAAAAAAAAAATTATCAAATGAGAAATACTTACTTTACTAAACAAATAATGTTTTTCGTTCTTTAGTGATAGATCAGTTCTTTCATCAGTAAAATTATTGATATCATAATATTCTAAGAAAATTGTAAATGATTAAAAAAAATTCTAGTTTTGTCCTATTAAATTCAAATTTGTTTTCTTACCAATCCACGTAAGTTTATTATGTCTTCCTCGATGAGTTGATTTCAAATCAAAAGTCGAATAAAAAGTAAACTTGGGTAAACCACAATCTTTCGCTCGAATCATTAATATATGGTCATCACTTAATTCCCATTTACCCTTCATAAAATTTTTGGACTTGCAATCGAGTCCAAAATTTTTTACTACATTTATAGGTTCATTTGTCGTCATTAAAGCAATGCATGTACCATCGGAATAAAAACGAATATATCGGTAATAGGTAACAAGGTGAATAGGTTGATTCCATGCATTTTCTGTAGATCCAGGTCTAATCAAATTCAGTTAAAATTGATGAATCCAAGAAATACGAAAATAATTTTCTTTCCTACCTTAAATAATTACATGTAGCTATGTAAACACCATCCACTCGTATACGTGGTCTAGCAAGAATAAGTTATAAAAATGTTATGGAAATTAAATAATGATTTTTATTTACTTATTTACCTTTCAATATACATCTTTCTCCAATCATTATGATAATATAATTTAACGTATCCTTCCAATAAAGAATTGGAAGCATCAAGTGACAAATAATTATTTCGATACGCCTTTTCACATAAGTAATGCCACAATGAAACTTCTCTAGATAAAAGAAAGAATTTCTTACATGCTAACGCAAACCTCTCAAGTGAAGTCGCGTCTCCTCTAGATATTAACTGGTGAAGAATGCAAACTATTAATTCATTAGGAAGTTTGGCAATATCAACTTTTTTATTAGGATTCAATGGTAACAAATCAAGTTGCAAATTTCGAAAACTGGTAATTAAATTAGAAATATTATTATCTTCTTTAATTAGTGGTGCAGAAGATTTAGTATCAAATCGTCCTTTTTCATAATCTTCCCCAATGAAAACGTAAGGAAATTGTGGAAACTCTTCTAAATGTTTGACAAAAAAATTGGATGATTCCGTTTTTTTATCATTAACTACACTATAGAGTTGCTTCTTGTAAGAATTCTCTACAGTAGGATCGAGTTTCAAGGCTTGACGATAATTTTTAAGAGCTTCCAACAAAATAAAGACCGTTATGAGAATAATTATAAACTACCATTTTTTTTTTAAAAAAAAAAATTTTAAATCTCTAAATTTGTAAATTCCGAAAAACCTTCGTTTAAATTTCCTTCTCTTTCATTCGTAACGGCTTTTACATAAATCTCCAAGGCTTTATGCTTTAGGACTTTTGGATCAGAAACAGGTTTTGTTGATTCAACCATAATCGATGTTCCAATTTCAGTGGAATCCTCTAAATTTTCCAAGGGATGAAGTTTTTTCGCATCAACTAAGGTGTTGGATACGCTCTCACTAGATATTGTTTTGGATTGAGCATCCTTCTTATTTTGCTTCGAAATTTCAGCTTTCCATTTTTCCCTAAATCTTTCAAGCTCATTTGTAACAGTAGACATTGTAGTTGGGACTGAATAAAAAACAAACTGATCGGGATATTTTTAACATAGGTTATGTCATCAAAAATGAATCCCCAATTTTTTTTTATCTGTCAATCAGTAATGTTTTAAAAATAGAACTCGTATCGGATTTCGCTGATTTTTTTTAGATCCATACTTATGGAAAATTTGTACGCATTTCATACATTGCAATTTGCAAATCTTCAAATTATTAATCTATTTTTTTCTCCGATTGAAGAATTGTTACTAAAAATAGGCAATTATTTATCGAACGTCATCTCCTAAATTAGAGAAATGACAAATGTGGCTAGCCTTGTACTCCTTACGTTTTTGAACACATTGCAAAGGGGGGCGAAGCAAAGTGAATGAACCACTAATCTTTAAAATAAACATTTTTTTTTTTACTTACTCTCTTATTATAATAATTGAGTTAAATTTGCGATCATTTTCGCCCATTTTTAGTGCGTTAATGGTTTAAACCTTTTGTATTTCATCTACCTTAGCTTCTCTACAAGTTTGACGAAACAAAGTGCCATCAGTGTTTGTGCTTTCGACCATTATAATTTCAAGTAATGTCGGATCGTGGTGAAGTAGTTCCAGAAGAAGTCAGTAATAGTAAACAAGCCTTTACAACTTGTGCGAAATGTGGGCTCCTAATAGTTGGACAATTTGTACGGGCATTGGGAGGGACATACCATTTAGAGTGCTTCAAATGCCAGGTGACCAAACATCGTATTTTTATAAATATCAATTTTTAAGTTTACATATTTTAACTGTTTTTAAATTGCTCATATTATAGGATTGTGGAACTATTGTCGCTGCTAAATTTTTTCCAATAGATGGTTTAGAAGGAAAACAACACCCTTTATGTGAACGAGACTATTTTCGACGATTAAACCTCATCTGTGAAAAGTGTGGTGGTGCCCTTCGAGGATCTTATATTACTGCTCTTGATAAAAAGTATCACATTGAACATTTTACCTGTTCTGCTTGCCCTACAGTGTTTGGTCCTCAAGATTCGTATTACGAACATGACGGACAGGTTTATTGTCATTACCATTACTCCACTCGATTTGCAGTCAAATGTACGGGTTGCCAAACTGCCATTTTAAAACAATTTGTAGAAATTAATCGAAATAGTATCGACGAACATTGGCATCCTGAATGTTATATGATCCATAAGGTATGCTGAATTTTTATCTGCAAACTTATGTTTGTTTTTATTACCCTGGGGAAAAAAAAAATTACCTTGGTATTTTCTTTTTACGAATTAGTTACATGCTTTCTTATATTTAACTCATGAGGAGGACTTAATCAATTTAATTGATGGGTGTACCTGTGAGTTGTGTTACATCAATCTTGACTAATAATATTATTACTAAATATGGCTTAGTTTTGGAATGTAAAATTATCCACACATCCAGATGATAAGCAAGGTTCAGAAAATGGTATTAACAATTTTTAGATTTTTTTATAAAAATAATCTCTTTATTTTATATACATCGGAATATATTTTTAACTTCTTTTATGAAATTTTTTTAGTTGATCAGCCGGAACCTGAAATTTCATCACCGGAAGAACTTAAAAATCAACAAAAAGCCATGGAAGAAAAAGTTTACAATATATGGACAGTGCTTTCTACATTTGAAGAAATGTCAGCGGCATGTATTTCGGATATGCTTATACACGTGTCAAATGGATCTTATTTTAATGGCGTGAAAATGGCAGAAAAATTCATCAATCACGTTGAAATATTATTCTCTGCTATCGATGATTTGGAAGCTCAATTAATAAAAGCAAGTGGACAAGGTTTGTTCTAAGATATTTATTCGAGTAGTAATGATTATTATTATTTAAAAATAATGAAATGTAATTATCTCAATCTGTCGATATTTAGGTCTTCAACACAATAGGGAAGCAAAAATGCTTTGCAAGAAAATAGTTAATTTTTTCTCTCTATTGTCAAATACACAAGAAACCGATGTCAGACGATTGGGTATAACGCAGGAACTCTTATCTCTAGTAACAGGATTAGCACATTATTTAAAAATTTTAATTAGGATCGCGCTTACAGGTGCATTGAAATTGGTAACTATATATTAATATAAATATGCATTTTCTTACGAATACTTTATCCAATTAATATTTATTGAAGTTCTTATAAATATAAAGGAAAGAGATTTTGAAAATTCTACAGCAATAGGACAGTTCTTAAATAAACTCTCTGAACTTACAAACAAAGGTAGTCAGCAAGATAAAGAAACAAATGTAGATGGTGAGGCTACATCAGATTTATGTCATGCGTGTCGCATTACAGTTGAAGAAGAGTGCTATAAATATGGACATTATCGATGGCATATTGGATGTTTGAGATGTTCTGGATGTTCTCGTGAATTGCGTACAATATTTAAGGATGCGTCTTTCAATCAGATAACAGAAATGGCATTTTGTCCAAGGGACACCAATGAACAATCTGCAAAAGGGTTCCAGTATGTATCTCAATTAGAACAGTACACATATTTGTTACGCGTGGCACTATCGCGTTTATATAATTTACTTAGGCGAAAAGGTAAGTCTTATTATTGAAATTATATTATTACATGATTTTCTTTGTTAATAGGGTTTTTTTTTCATTTTTTAATTATTCAAGACGAGAGCCAGAATCCATCAGCTATTGATGTTAATCGTGGACGTAAAGATCAGAAATCCGAAGTTGGGATTGTTCGTAGGGATTCTATGTTAAAATCTTATTCCAGTGGTGATAATTATGACCCTCTTAATAAAACTGATATAAAACGTATGAAGTCTGTTCACATGGATCGTAAATTATCCACTTCGGCAAGAATTGCGACACGATCTAGAATAATAGAGCAGGAATCGGAGCCTTCTACAAGTTCCATTCCTGATGATTCTGCAAAGGATAAATTAGCAAGAGCTCCTTCACAACATCATGTTAAGATTGTACAAGATCAAGTGTTCGATTTGCAAACACAAGAAAATAGAATAAAATTCGATTCACAAAATGAAGCTATTACATTGGCTGATATTTCCGCTTTAGCCGCAGCGAGTATGGCTGAAAATATTCCTGACGACAAGGCAAATAATGAATCAAGACGCAACTCACGTTCAAAGAGTTATTTGTCTGAGCTTTCTGCTCTAGAATATTTCATTGTAAAGCACGTGGCTGTTCTTGCAATGGAGCAACTTTTGAAGGAACATTTTTCATTAGAAGAGTTGTTAGACTTAATTGGATTGAAAAAAGCTAATTTTTGGACAAAATTTGTAACGTCAATTAAGCCTGCAGAAAAAAAGCCTGTTAAGAAGAAAGGTTAGACTTGTTTAAAATCTAAATTTATTATTAGACATTTTTAGGTTTAAATATTTAACAAATTTATATTTATCTAGGTACTTTTGGTGTGGCTCTTGACATCCTAGTTGAAAGGTATGGTATTGATTCTGTGTTAGGCGCAGGACCTGGTCGTATAAGAGTTCCTAGCTTTGTTGACGACAGTATATCCGCTATGAAAACAATGGGTAACTTATGACCATTTAGTTATGTTTTTCTTATATTTAAAAAATTTTTTGATATGTATTTACTTAGTAATAATAATATTATTATAGATATGTCAGTTGAGGGTATATTCCGTAAAAATGGCAACATTCGAAGATTAAAAGATCTTAGCGAAGCGATCGACAAAAACCCTTCAGCAGTAAATCTTTCCGAAGATAATCCCGTACAAGTTGCTGCGCTGATGAAAAAATTTTTACGTGATCTCCCTGATCCGTTACTTACATTCAAATTGCACAAAATCTTTATAACTTCACAAAGTAATCATCTATCTACTAAGATTTATAGCTTGTTTAAATTTTTTGACATTATTTACACTATTTTAATTCTTATTTCTAATTTATTAGAACTACAAAATGAGGCAGATCGTAAGAAAATTTTGCATCTTGCATGCTGTCTTTTGCCAAAAATTAATCGTGATACCATGGAAGTTCTTTTCATATTTTTCAAATGGGTAGCCTCATTTTCGCATGTAGATGAAGAAACAGGGAGCAAGATGGATTTGCATAATCTTGCCACAGTAATTACACCTAATATACTATATTCGAAATCAAAGGATCCAACTAAAGATGATTCATTTTTGGCTATTGAGGCAGTACATAGTTTGCTTAAATATCAGGATGATTTCTGGGTGGTATGTTATGGAGATTTTATATTAAATCAAATCCGTTGTTTGTTATTTCTTCGTATTTAATGTTTAATATATATATATATATAGGTCCCAGAAGATTTATCTGCCATTTTACATGATCAAGATTTATTAAATAATCCTGAGGGGTTAACCTCAAAAGATATATTAAAACGTTGTGAGAAATTTGTGTCTTTAAAAAAAGAAAATGTAAATATGAATGACAATTTAAGCGAAGGTTCAAGTTCTGGTGGTGATGGGGACATACAAGCTTCACGTCATAATAATAATCCACAACATCAGACATTTATTGAAAAGGGAAACAATGATAATCATCAAAACGCGAATTCTACTAATATATATCCAGCTTCGTCGTCTTCAATTGTCAATAGCGAAAGTTCAATTCCAGTTGAACAACGGGCATCCTGATTAAAAAAAAAAAAATTAGTGACCATAATTTTGCTTATTTATAGTTGTGCATTTTTTATGTTTTTTTTTGTTTGTAGAACATTTATATATTATTTTTCCAAAAAATTTGAAGAATCAGAATGTTATTCGTTATAACTTGAATTTATAGGAATCATAATTTATATATTATTTATTTTATATTATTTATTATTATTTATTTTGAATCTCATTCACCTTCTAGTTTAAAATATTTCGCGAGGGACAAGGGGTAAAGAAAAAAGGGTGAAGCCTGAAACGGCAAAAAAAAAAAAAATCAGGATAAAAAATATTCGGAACTGGTTTCGAAAAAAAAAAAAAATTTTTTTTTTATTTTTTCATTATTCTTTGTAGCTTTGGCTTTAAGTTATTTTTTGTTTATATAACAATTTGTTTGATATTTTATATATATACTCTTTTTTTTTTACATATTATATATATATATATATATATATTTTTGTGATATATTTATTTTATTTATTTATTTTCTTTCATATTGAATTTATAAGAAACATATATATATATATTTATATATTTATATATAACACATAAGCATTATAATTTACACTCTTATTATCTCAATAATAATTTTTTATAAATTTGACTTTAGATTTGTAAATTACAGATCACTTACAATAATTAGAACAGAATACATAAATTTTTTTATGCTAGCAAAATATTTATTAATTCCAGATATAATACAAGTAAATTTACTTTTCAGAACCATTAATACGCCAAATACGGAGAGTCGTATCATCAGAGCATGAAGCAAAGGTTTCAATATCTTTTGACCAATTTAAACTCGTAACTTCATTTTCATGAGCTTTCAAAATAACAGGGTCGCCATTTGGGAAATCAACCTCCCAAATATAAATGGATTTATCACTTGATCCACTTGCAATATAACGACCATCAGGTGAGCAAGCCAATCGAACATAAAATGAAGAACATCTGTAATTTGGACTAGTAAAACAACCAATAGAAGCTCCTAGATTTGTAGCATCATACATATAAATATGATTATCTGTACTATTGGCATATAAACGAGTACCACTTTTATCTAAAATTAAATCTGAAATTCCATGAGGACGTTTGGCAAAGGAACCATTAATAGAAGTTTGAACCGGTATCGGATTATTTGACGCGTCCTGATTTCGTAAATCCCAATACTTGATAATACTATTACTAGCTCCAGATGATGCCAATAATAAATCCTGATGCATCAAAAACCGCACTCCAGTTACACTGCTAGTCGGTTTGCTTCTAATTGGAGGAAGTTGAAAACATTTTCTTGACTTCTTTTTTAGGGTGTCGTGTAAATGTGCATTTCGAATGCTGATAACTGGTTTAAAGAATATTTCACCCTCGGAACGTAATCCATTTGAGCGGGTATCCCAGATAAATATATTTCCATCTCTTGAAGATGTCACCCACAAATTTGGGTTTAAAGGATTAAAATTAACTGATTTGATACTGCAAGTATGTCCACCAAATGTTGCCTTGCATTGCTGTGATTCCACGTCCCACAATTTCGCAGTTTGATCACCAGAGGCGGTAACCATTGAACAATCATCATGACTCCACATAACATCAAAGACAGCATTATCATGTGCACGAAATTCAGTACGAACCCGTTGAAGTTCCAAAGTGTTATTATATCTAGCATCAATAAAACCCACCATCCCTTCCTCGTCTGCTGCGGCTAGAAGCTTTCCGTTACGCGCCACATGACTGAAAGAACAAACGAATGGTGCAACGAAATTTCTATCACCAAGAAATCTAAATACATCATTATCCGTGTTTTTGAAATCTTTTATAAAAAAACGTGTTGAAACATTCCATCTTTTTGAAGCCATGGTTGAACCACCCATTACAGTAGTTCCCCAAATTTCCCTTTGAAATAATGCATTTTGTAATGTTAATCCATAATATGGATTAAAATTTTTATTTGAACGCGAAGATAGTTGAGAATTACTCTGTAAATTATCGCACTTTATCCTTTTTTTCGGTGGTAGAGCTGGAGTTGGAGTTACAGGTTCAAAAGGTTCAAGTCTACAATTTACATTGTTGATTTGTCGCGTAATATCAGATAAAGGTGGTGGTGGTGTTAGGATATTATTATCTTGGGTTTGCTTCTTGTAACGATGACATATATTTTCTGACATTAGGAATTTATTATTTTTTTTTTATTTTTTGAATAAGTTTTTCTTTAGAAATTTTTTTAAATTGAATTAAAGATTCTCGCGGTTAACTTATGAACTACGCGAATTGCATCAAGTCACGTGAAATCATTTTTTTTTTTAATGGTTGATCGCATTGACATTGTTATTATAATTATTATCATATATAAAATTTCTTTTTTAATCTTTTTTTTCTTTACAGGATGAATTTCGATTTGCGTGAAATGTGTAATCCAGCCTTATTTCATAAATATTTATTACATATATTCGAGAATTAATTAATTTTTTGAATACGACAAATCACTGTTTTTATAATTTTGACCAATTTATCGTTCATAACCCTCAAGATACAATTCACTTAAGTAATCGAAAAATCGATTTTTTACCTACAAATTATAATAATATTCATAAACTTCAAATTCTGATTAAAATGAACATGTAACAACGTCAAGATTCATTCATGAGGCATTAAATGATGAAACAAAAACCAATAAATTCTCTAGATCACATTAACGTATAAAGATTAAATGATAAAAGGAGGGAATATTCAAGACACATCATCATGAAGTCTAAGTCAAGACACCAGAGTTCAAACTACTGTATAAAAATTCCGGATTTTCTCGTAAAACCGGGTATTTATCCGAAACCGGAAAATTTAAATTTATATAACATGAAAATATGCCGGATAATTTTAAGGTTTTTTTTTTTTTAAAATTAACCTAAATTCTATGCAAGACACGATGTTTTTCATCATATGACAAAGGCGCAGTCATGGAAAGTTAATATATATATTCTCGATCTGCCTCGACAAAATTTTTTAGTTTAATAAAAAGAATGGCAAACGCTGACAGAGATTTCGATAACGACGATGAATTTTTGTATGGCGGAATTGAAGAGCAGACTGTTGTTGAATCTCAAGTATCGAAAGAGGGTGAGGAAACGTTAGATTTAGATTCTATTTGACAAGTTCAATTAAACAAAGATTTTCCGGAAAGTTTCCATTATCTTACGATAATGGAAACTGTCTTGAACCCTTTGCTTGAAAAATGCACAAAGGTGCTAATATTTTTCATATATCGGTGTTAATAGAGGGGTATTCTGAAAATAATATAAAAGGAGTCAATGTAGAAGGTATGATAGTGCTAACCTGTTCAAACGCCAACAGGTTATCTATAATATAGTCATTTAGTTCTTTTAACGTTAATTTATTAAATTTAATTTATTTTTTAATTTATTTTTTGTTATTAATAATCAATTTTTTTAAAAAATTTGTAACTTTTTGTAACATAACAAAATCTAATAAAGAATTATTTTTTTTTCTTGTTTATATATATCTTTATCTTTTATCTTTTATGTTTTTGGTTTGGTTTGGATCGTAACGAAATAATATGTATAAAATACATAAGACGACGACTTCTTTGATATGTATGGGGACGGGACAAAGTACGTTGTTAATAGGTTACTTGTTAAAATCGAATTAATTTTATTATCGATAACTTAATATTTTGGAAATCATTTTGATATTTTTTTTGAAGTAATGATATCGGCAATTTCAATGATGAAGCTTCTAAAGAAGTAAATCAAGCAGATGTAGATTCAATGTATGTGTGTGCTCTAATCCATATTATTGTAATTAACCACATACTAAATCTTTACGTTTAACAAAAGAAAAATCGTGCAGGTTGATGATCAGGATATGTATTTTCCTCCAGAAATAAAAGACCATCAAACTACCCATGTTATTCATGATGACAAAACCACTCAAAGCACCTTTGTTCAGAACTATAATATTCAAGGGATCCAAAATAATCCAGATACGAAGGTTAACCAAGATAACCAAGTTATAAATACTTCGGGCAACGAGAATAATCAAGATAAGGAGGATTATCAAGATAGCCAAGAAATTCAAGAAGGACGTGATATGCAAGATATTGATCCATTAGAAATGTCAACAGAGAATGGAAACGTGGCAGATTCATCAGAAGAACAAGAACAAACAGTCGAAGCGAAAGTAGAGGAGGAGGAGGAAGAAGAGGAGGAAGAAGAGGAGGAGGAAGATGATGATGACAGTGACGAATCTGTAATAATTCTGATATATTTAATCTTCTATGCACAATTTTTTTACATATTAACCAAGTTTTTAATCGTGCGAAGGATATCGAAATTATAATGGATGCTCCGCAACCGAAACCTACAGATAACGCCACAAGGCAATTAGATTGAAATCCTGATTTATTCTTATTAGTCCTAGTGTTTTATTAAAAAAATTTTTTTTTCCTTTAGAAATTCTCTTATTATAAAACCCAACTTTAATAAACAGCTTGGAATGCGACACGGTAAATATCGCGATTTTTTGTTGATTGGCTGCATACCATAACTAACTATTTATTTATGTTTCATGGAGAGTATAGAAGGTGTTCAAGCGTCTTCAAGTCGCACACCAGGCGTAGATATTAATGTTATCGGGACATTCGAAGGAACTGGCATATATGATGTCGATTTAGACTCATTTGAAGATAAACCTTGGAGAAAACCAGGTATGATTCGTAAATTAAATTGAAAGCTATTGTTTTATTTATATCAAATAAAGTATTCATTATAAACAGGTGCGGATATTACGGATTACTTTAATTATGGGTTCAATGAATATACATGGAAAGCATATTGCGCGAAACAAAAACAGATGCGCGAAGATCAGCATCAACGCAAGAAAATACACGTAAGTTTTTCAATTAGATGTATGATTATATTATAAACTAAAACCAATTAAAAATATATTTTAATATAGGTATATGAATCTAAACAAGAAATGAATAATTTGCCCGAATTGCAATCCATCAATCAATCCTCATCGGGAGGGCAAGAACATAATAGATTTCCGCAACAACGCGGACGAGGTAGATAAATATTATAGTTGATGTTGTTATTGTTGTTTTATACCTTTGAACGCTATCTGAAGAGTTTTCTCAGATTTCAAACATGTAGGACGTCGTGGACGAGACCAAGACGATTCAGTGATCCAAGTCGTTTCAAGTGAAAGAGAAGCAGCTTTGGAAGAACTAGAACCAATGTAACTTGAATTTAATTTATGCAATTTTATTAAGAACGGGACGTTATGTTATTTTATTTTATTATTTTAAAAAGTAAACCTAACTTGACAATCTTTTTAAAATGTATATATAAGTCCACCTCCGTCGATGGATCAAAGCGATGAATTTAACATGGAAGGTGGATACCCACAAAATTTTTCAGGTTATGATTCGTTGCATCTCATTCACAATGATATTCTATCTGTAAATTGATTATATATATATATATATATATATATTTTTTTTTATTTTTAAAAAAAATTTTTTTTAGGGAATCCGATGGGAATGGGAATGTTTCCACCACCGGTAAATTATTTATCCTTATTTATCTTTTATAATGTATATATTTATATTTATTTATTTATTTATCAATAGGAAATGGGAGGCCCCATGGGACCACCACCTTCTTTTTTCATGTCAAATCCTGATATGCCACCAACTGGTCCAATGGGTTTCGATCCATCATATAGAGGTCAACCTATGCGAAATATGATGCGTCCGGGAGGAATGCCTGGTAGCATGCCAGGTGGGATGCCGGGGATGCCAGGGATGCCGGGGATGGCAAGGGGAATGCCTCCTAACATGCAAGGCGGTATTCCTGGTGGGATGCCTATGCCTAGAGGTATGCCTGGAATTCCTGGAGGAATTCCTGGTGGTATGGTCGGACGAGGTCGTGGAATGCCAATGGAAGAAAGGTAATAACAAAGAAGGTCTTGATTAATTAAATATACAATAATTATATACATTTTCTAAATATATTTCGTATTTTCACAGACCATACTTTTCCATGGATGAACCAAGTGAGCATTCTTTCAGTCAATTATTAGAGTTAACGATATTTATTCAAAACAAATATAATATATATATATATTTATTTATAAAATTAATTAAATTTTCATTTCAAAATTTATAAATAATTAGCATGGGAAATGGAAAATCGTAACTCTCCGTCTTTTCGTCCTGGACATGGTGGATTTCAAGGTAGACCACCGACTGGACCAATGTTAGGTCCGAGTGGAAATAGACCAGATTGGGAACATTCTCCACCTCCAGATGCACCATTTGCACATAGGATGCGACCACCTTTCCGTCCCCCTACTGGACCAGCTGGTTCCTCAGTAAATAGCCCAAGTTCAGATAGAGAAGAGGAAAGAGGTGGCGATAGAAGCGCATCAGGAAGTGTTGAAAGATCACATGTATGAAAATTTTTTTATTAATCGGAACATGTTTTAATTAAAAATGATATATTTCTTAATATTATTTTGTAATATACTAATTTCCTTTTGTTTTTTTTTATAGGGATTTACACGGAGGGAAGATGAAAGATGGGATGGGTAAGTCATCTTTCAGGGGATAATTTATTGTTTATTTAAAAAATCCCAAAATTCACGTTTAGTTTGAAAATTAATATAGATCGCGAAAAAGAACTACTGGAGATGCACCACGCGATGACGATGAAATTAGAGCAAAACGACGACATTAAACATTTTAAGAGATTTTTGTGTGCTATTTTAAATAACTCTTTTAATTAAGTAACTTTCAAATTACTATAAAAAAAAACACTAAATTTATAATGTATATTTCTTGGTACGATAATTATGATAATTATGCATTGAGCAAAATAGAAACTTTATTATTTATTGAATAAAAAAATTAAATTTTTGTAATGACAAACAAATTTGGTTATTAATTAACATTTATAGTCTTGTAAAAGGCGGGAAAATAAATTTATAAAAGTTATACGGGCAAATTTTGATGTATTGCGAGTTAATGATGTAATTAGGGGTACAAGATTATGTCAGAGTCGATCTGTGAAATGTTTATCGGAAATAATAAATTATAAATTTTCCGTTTTCGAATATCATTTATTCCTTTTATGAATTGGGGTAATTTTATATTCCTTACTTATCTTTATTATTATAGGATTTATGTAGTGCTTTTTTTTTGAGCCTTCTTCCAAGCCTGTGTTCTTGTACGAATTCTCGGAGCTTTTTTACCTTTCTTTGCATGAGTACCTTGACTTGACTTACTTTTTCCAAGTTTATTCGAAGACACTTCATTACTCGCACGAATACCTTCAATTAATTTCTTCCCAAATTTCACCTTTCCAATTTTTGGTTTGCCTTTGGCAGGTTTGTTTGAAGCTAGTTTACTAACATGTTTTGCTTTTGCACATCTTGTCACTCGGATTTTTCGATTGCCAAGTTTTGTGTCATTTAACTTTAGAGCAAATTCAACAGAAGCGCGTTCCTAATATTATTTAAATTATTTAAATATCTATACGCATATTATATTCGTTATTTTTTTTTTTTTACTTACCTTAAATTGTACATATGCAAACCCTTTTCCAACATTGGTTTTACTATCCCTTACGATTCGAACATTTTCTATTTCCCCGCAACTTTCAAAATGTATCCATAACTCTTCCTCTTGTGCATCAAAAGACATATTGCCGATGAATACAGTTCGTCTTCTGTCATGATTCTAATCAAAACAAAATCACAAATAAATATCTATTCATGTAATAAATGTAGTTAAAAAACCCCCCTCTTGACCTACTTGTGGGTTCGCTACGGAATCAACACGAAGGTGCTTTTCCATAAACATTTGAGCATTCATAGTAATGGCTTGTTGTACGGATGATTGTTCTTTATATACAATGTATGCATTAAGAATATCTCTTTCAGGATGAAGTTTGCCAGTAATAAAGGCAATCTTACGAGGAAGCAATTCGGAAAACGCCTAGAACGTGAATCATAATCTCGTTAAAAAAAACCTCTCCAAACTTATTTAAAATAGAAATTATATATGTATAAGAACTTACAATTGAGCGAAATCGAACGCTTTCGATTTTCCCGAATTGAGAAAAAAGAGCCTTTAATTTTTTATTATTTGCCTAATATGATTTTAATTAATACTTAACGAAATTATGTTATTGAAAACTAAGTTTATCATAAGATTTATGCAAGATACGTAACCTTTAAAGTTACCGCAACTGGTAAATTTCCCACAAAGATTGTTCTTTGCAAGCGTTCAGGATCTACTTTTGGCAATTCACCTTTACATCGATCATTATCATCAAGTTCCGTCGTTTTTAAATTAGTTGAATCTTTCGTTTCAACATTAACAACACCAGAGTTATCAAACTCGATGTTTTTCTCATTGGTACTATCGGAATTAGATTCAATGTCTTCTATAACCTTTGTTCTCTTTTGAGACTTCGAGCCTTTAACCGAAAGTTTATGTTTAAGCTGCCTTTCGCCATTAGTGGGTATTTGTTGAGTTGGTCCAGCCTAAAAAAAAGCGAGTGTGTTTTATACACGAATACCAAGATCTAATGGACTAAGAATTTAGATCTTACGCTGTTTTTAAACAAAGCGTCGAGATCACTATTTATCTCTAAAGATTTTGACCCCAATATTGTTTGTAATAAAGATCCTTGAGCGTAAATCGACATTTTAAAAATTAAAAACAAGGGACAAAATAAAGCTGTATAAATACTGTCAATCTGAAAGATAATGAATGACACATGGCCAATGAGGATGATTATCAAATTCATAAGTCTTGTGCATCATAAGATCAAGTTTTTTTTTTTTTTTTTTTTTTTTTTTTTTTTATTGTACAAATTTCTCCTCAATGGGTGGCTTTGAACTCGCATAATTGTGTTCCAAGAAATTTGGTTGCTACGTCATTTCAAATGTATCATATATATATAATAACTTTTTTTTTTTATAAAACCCTTTAAATTCATCCCCCACAAAAAAAACAATACTTTTATAAATTGCTCTTTTTTATTTCTTAGGAAACTGGACATTTTGTTCTTGTACAATATAAGAATTTCATTTTAATTATTAATTTTAGTTTAGACGACTACTTTCGCATTCCTTTATTTTTTTTATTTTCCTTAACAGTAACAACCAACTTGATGCTGCAGTCGACTACATCAAGGGATCGTTCGCTTGAGAATAGACTTGACAAACAAACCGAAAGTCAAGAAATTTTCAAACCTGGAACGAACTTTTCGATCGAAAAAGATACTACTTCTCTTCCCAATAGTCAAATTAGTACAGACAATGAGTCGGAAACGAAGAAACCACCGGTTTCCGAAAAAGCAGAATACCCGAAAAGCGAAAGGAATGGTATCAAACATAAAACAACTAATCCCTGGAAAAATAATGAAGGAGTACAAAACGGCGCTACTAAAGAGACTAATGGAAACAAAACGCAACCTGTCCGTAGTGATTCTTTAGACATCAAACTTATGGAAAAATCGGACAGTCCAAATTCACCCTCAACATCCGAAATAAGTTCACAATCAGAATCAACTTCCATAATACAGGATGATACTAAATCCAAAAACCACATGGCCATGTCTGAAGACGAAGTGCCTATAGTCGAAAATACGGATAACAACAGGGTTAGAAAAAGACGACGTTGGGACGATAGAGTGGAAAACGGAAACGAAGAAAACGGTTCCATGGTAGTAGGTAATAATAAGTCAGAAGGCATGTCTCTTTTTTTTATTTTTTTGTTCAATATTTCAATTATTCGAGGGTTAGTGAAAGTCGTTTGATCTGTCCATAATTCGAAAAAAAAATTTGCATTACCAATAATTTTCCCGCAATGTAACGTAGTACTCGATGACGTCATGGGTATTTGTGGCGCAGAATCTGCAATAGACTGCGGCAATTCTTTTTTCGAAATATTTACGTTTTATAACTTTATCATTATAGAACCAGACGAAAATGAGAAACCTCGAGCTGAAGTGCAGAATGACCTAAAACAAGTCGAACAGGATTTTGCACAATTGAGGGATCAGTGAGTATTTTGCTATACCTAAATCAATGAATTATATCTTAAATTAACATATATTTTTTATATTAGGTTATATCGTGAGCAAATTGAATTATTGGAAAAACAAATTAATATGATAAATGAAGGTAAGAATGTGTATTATGAATTTTGGACTGTTGATAACGTTTTATGTTTTATAAGTAAACAATCCGAATCGTATATTTTCGTTAATATTTGTTTTAAATTAGATTACCAATAATTTTTAAAATAATTTTAATTTGATAGGGTCTTATCCGGAATTGAAATCTCGCATGGAAGAAATTGAACAAAAAAGACGAAGACGGCTAGAAATTGCCGAATCAAGAAAGAAATATCAAGTAATCCATTGTCATAAACAATATGAAGAAGCCAAATATAAGGCAGATTGCGAATTTAAGGTATTATATTTGATTAATTTGGATTTGTAGTAATATAAGAACGCTAAATTATATATAACAATTTAGTCGGATAAATACGAATCACGAAGGAAGAAACTCGACGATATGGAAAGCAAAAGATGGCAATTGATTAGGGAAAAAAATTGCTTAGATATATTGGGCCGAATAGGTTAATAGTAAAGTCATGATTTTTATTCAGTATATTATTATTCTCTCACTCAGTAGTAATCTTAACAAAATTTTGTTCGTTAAAATAGAATATTCCGGACCTGATCATAACCATTTAACGCATCGGAAAAATATGAAGTTATCAAATATAGCAGAATTAAAATATGTACAAACACACTATGGCTTCCCGGCAGATATCCTTGAATTTTAAATCAATGTAGCTCTATAAATACACCAACGAACTTACTTATAGGCCATGATTCTGGCTAACCATTAATATTAAATTTTACTTAAGGAATGTCCATAGTTGAAGAATTATCAAAACTAATCGACTCTTCCACGACCAGAATTAGGCCTATAAATAGGTCGCGGGTGTGTTTATTAGAGATTATATATAACAAATATATATTATTATCTTGTATTTGCATTTCTTCGATTATAAATTTTTATCTCTTGTTCCTTAACTGAAACTTACCACCTTCAACGTTAGATTTGTTTCATAAGTCCGAAATTGAAGAAGATCTAATATCATTAGGGGTAAATATAATCAAAATCTCTTTTTTTTTTATTTTATTTTATTTATAAAGTTATAAATTGATTAATTAATATAATATATATTTAATCAAGATTGCAAGAGATGATGATTTACAAGGTATGTTAAATATCTGATCGTAAATGTTCTTATGCTTCAAATATAATGTAATAATTTATTGTGCAACACCTTGCTATGTACTGAATAAATCATAGCTGTCGCTGCTTTAATTTCATCTTCATCACCTAAGTTAAATACTATTACTGGTTCAATTCTGGATGGTAACAACAATACATTCCTTGAAGAAGTTGATAGTGATATATATGCTGAAGGTGATGGTCGTTTCCAATACCTTGGACAATCGTTCACTAAAGGTGCCCCAGTTCTTATTAGTGATTCTTCATCAGGGCGCTATACAGCGAAATTTGTTTCTGCTACGGATTCTGAGGTACATCACCTTTTTATATGATAATTTTAGTATGTTCTTACCTTGATAACTAAGCATTATTATAAAAAAAAAAAATAAATAAACTAATTTTCAGGTTGTAATACAGCGTCCTGATGGTTCAAAAACACGATTACAAATGAATTTATTGAAAGAAAGAAAATATCAAATACATTTAAAGGAATCATAGTTGTTACAATAATAAACTTCTTTTATCAACCTACCTATATATATACAAATCCGGACAATTTTTTTTTTTACTTCTTTCATCATTTAATATACTACCATCCTTTTTTTGTTTTATATATATATATATCAGAGCATATAGTCAATTATAATAGATAGTTTATCATTAAGAGAACTTCATCTTCATCAACAGCAAAAAACTTCATCAATTCACATTATGTATATGTATATATATATATATATATATATATTTAACTGCAAATTTAAAATTCTTATTTTTAGTGTACTATCATTGATTTTTTTTTCATTCTTTTTTATTTTACCATTTATTTCTTTTGGGGGAGCAAAGATATAATTATTATTTTTTTATCATCAAAATTAATGATATATTTCACCTGTATATTTTCTTTAATATTGAAATTATAATACCAAAATTTAGTTTAAATTATCATTATAAATGAGCAACAAAAAAAAGAAACAAGTATTTAATTATTTTTTTTTGTTTGTTTTTTCTTTTTTTTTTTTTTTTTATATATATATATATTTATTTTTTATTTATTCTAATATAGTAAAAAAATTTAATCTTTGAGAAATTTGGATGTTAAATTTGGATGGGTGGTTAATTTATAACTTATTTTGACCCGAACATATATAATAAATCAAAAAAAATGCAATTTTCTAGCAAGTTGGTATTTAAAAAAAAAAAAAAAAAAAAAAAAAACGGATAAAATAAAAGTAAAATTGTCCCGTTAAAAAATAAATCTAAATAATAAATGTTTAATGATAAGTGATGAACAAGTAAAATAATAACTTATTTCACTTATTGAATGTTCAACTTCAAATAGTTACATTATACGTGTGTGTATATATTCATATTTTACATGGCCTCGTTAATGATTTCAAAGGCTTTTCTGTAAACATCAAGCATAGTCTTACATTTTTGCCTTTCATTAGTCAAATTCTCATCTTCTTGTAACAAATCGGCAAACAATTCCTCTTTATATAATTCTTCGACCAATCTATTTTGAACCGTTTCACGAGAACGATTGACCAAATGGTACATAATGGCTTTCGGAACAGTATCTTGAATTGTTTTACGTACAAGGTCGAAATAAGATGTAATAAGTGAACCTTATAATTGATAATTATTTAATAACAAAGAATGTTTGTTTAATATAAAAAATCCTATAACTCGAAGAAAATAACGATAATGTATTGAAAAATACTTACGTATTAATTGAGTTTCCATTTCTTCACGTTCAGTCAGATGATTGGCACCTTCATTTAAAGAAATCTATTTTTTACCAATATATGAAAAGTTTTTTTTAGCTACTAATCAAAATGACTCAACATCAAGATAATTATTGTGCTTACATGTTCTAACTTTTGCTCCAACTCTTCAATATCTCTGGAATTTCTATTGGATATTGATTGATCAGGTAATACCGTTCTATCGGTCTTATTCCCACTTCCGAAGAAGTATGTTAAAAATGACTCGCGCTGAGCCCATGAAGTATTATTCATGCCATTTGGTAGGTTATCTTTAGTTCCGCCAAGTTCTTTTAAATTATCTGAAGCAAGTGGACCATCATTTTCATCTTTACTAACAATACTTGATTGAACGCTCACATGTAAAACACCGCTCGAATTGTTCGACTATAAAATAATTAAAAAATTTTATTAATACGAAATGGGTCACGTTTAGAATTCATTTTAATTTATTACCCTTCTGTTTAGTTTTTCATTTAGTTTTTCAAATTCCCTTCGCTTTCTTTCATTCTTTCGAACGAGATCTGATATAGCAGCGCCTCCGCCAATAAAATCCGGATGATTGGTATTTATGTAAGCATGTTGAATGCTAATTAAACTTTCAACGTACTCGGAAGTAGGAGCTAGTCGTTCACGAAGTAAGTCACAAACAACTTCAAGAAGTTTAGCTTGTAAACGTGGAAAACGACTTAATTCCTATAAATTATTTCATTTAGATCATTAAACATAAATATATATATATATATAAATATATATATTTTATATTTTCTTTAATGATGATAATTAATATACATTATATATTATATTCAGAAATTATATAAAATCATACCATACTTCCGCAACCATGACAGATTTTCATTAACTCGTCATAAACGAGTTCGACGCATCTTAAACTTGGCTGCTGAAGTAAAAGAATCTGAGGCTTGACCAAAAGATCAAATGCAATTTCCGGGACAAATAAAGAAGGGCGTGGACCATAAGAATTACGAATGGCATATCGAATATCTTGAACTGAGAGATTTCCACAAGGCCTAATTGATTCGAGTGCTGCGCCAAAAACATTATTGAAAATATAATATATTCGAGCACCACCACATCTATAGTTTAGATATTATTAAGGATGCTTAACCTGTTTTATTTAAAATATGAAATAATTCTCATAAAGGATACAATTCCTTTGTAGAAATGTCCGTGAATGTTCCATCAATTGATGAAACAAAATCATTAGCGAACTTGGTAAGAAGCTTCAGTATTAATGCTCCCTAATGATGAAAGAATATTAATTTTTTTTGTTTTTTAAAAAAAAAAAAGTTAAATAAGATACGCGATGAATTAAAGAATTTGAATTCAGAATACCCTATTTGATTTTCCTTCAAGTGTAGGATCTCCATATGACGAAAGTTTTCGTGATTCTTTTCCAATCAGAGTATTAATATGAGTTTTTATGTCTGGTAACCTTTCCCTTATATGATTCATGAGAATCTTGTTTTTTAAAATTTAATAAAAATAAAATTGAAATGAATGTCGAAATCTCAATTGGATAATATTTATTAAGAATAATTACGTTATTCAATGTTTTGGACAAGAAAGGAGTACCGCACCGGGAGGCAATACTTCGATAAGCCGGATGATGTTTAAAAAATTCAGCTTCAGACTTCAAAGCTTCAACCATTGGTTTATTACCCACAATATCTTGTTGGCTACGATTAACGACTCCAATGAACCCCAGCTTTAAAGGAAAAACACGACCAGTTAGAATATCTAACGCATTTGTACCAGCATCCATAAGATCTAACTTTGTTAAGACTCCGATGGTACGTCTTCCTACACAAAATAATCGAATGTATTAAATATTTATTTTCAAAAATCATTGATTTTGAGAATTAATATATATTTACCTTCAGGATCAACTTGCTTTGCAAGTTTTAGACTTTCCGAATTTACCAAGTCAACATTAGCTGCACTAACAGCTAAAATTATACTACACAAGTAATACAAAAAGGCGAACTAGTTAACGAAAAAAATTTTTTTTTTTTTTGAAAAATAACCGTCAAATAAATAAGTTTGGACAAATTTAATAAAAACATGCCTATTAGGTTTAGAAATGTAATCATGTATTAAACTCCTAGTTTGATTCTCAATATCAGTAGGTTGGTCACCTATAAAGAATTATTTATCAAATCATTTAGTAAGTCTAATGTTAGGAAAGAAGGAAAAAAATTTTTTTTTCATACCAACTGGAATCTAAATTCACAAATGAAGTTAAAGAATTAATAAATAGTTTTAAGATTTAAGCTTTTTTAAAAACAAATTTATTTTTAGACCTTTGTTAATCCAGGCAAATCTACCAAAGTCAAATTAAGAACATTAGGTGAATAAATTTTAAGTTGCATGGGAGACCTTGAGATTCCCTTATTTTGACCAGCAATTCTAGCCGTTTCTGCTTCGATTTCCTTTCTAATTTCTGTAAAATCAGTAAACTTTTGATTTGAAGCGTGCAAAAATTCTCCATATTCTTCAGGTTCAGAATCTTCACTGGTATGTATATTAACAAGTTGAAGAACTAAAGGTCGTCGAGTAACAATGCCATTACCGCGGGGTAAAAAATCCCGTTGTACAATGTTCTCGAGAACTGAAGATTTGCCAGATGACTGTGATCCAACGACAATTATTTGAGGCAAATCTACAGTGTCACTACCAATCGTATTAAAAACATCTTGGAGTTTATTGACTAAAGGGATCAAGTCATTCATCATAATAACACGGTTAGTGATAACACGGTTAAATTAAAGAATGCTAGGGAAAAGTTTAACTAAAAACCACAATGTTCTTGATACGTAGTTAATTTTCGTAATCGAAGAACTTACAAATAAAAAAGAAGAGTGAAAGATTTATTTAAAAGAAATAAACGAATCTTTGAAACTATGTGCAGATCAGGGTTATCAGAGATTTTACTTGCATAATGTTTAGATTTATATAGAGAATTTCAGGGGTTCAAACTTAAGTGATGACACCCGCTTTTTTAGTATGATCCAACATGTTTGTCAGGTTTTAATTAATTTTTTATGATAATAATTTCCAAATCTGATCTGGTATTTAAAAATACGTAATTTTTTAATTTTTGTATCACTATAAGGTGATAAAATAAAATAGGTGATCAAAAAAATCGTCCCTCTTATTATACAACCACTAAAATTTTGACCCCTGCGATTTTTTTCTTAATGATATTTTATTAGTGTGTAAATATGATTCATATCTATAATAAAATCAAATTTATCATTCATTTTTACTCATATCAGATAAAAGTTTCTTTACAACATCTGACACGAGTTTCTTTGAAGCCTTACTATTATCAATTTTAATTTCTTTCATAATCTTTCCCAAATCCTTTGATCCTCCTTCTCCAGTAATACCAAGTTTTTTTACAACTCTCTTAACTTCAATTTCAATTTCTCTCTCTGACATTTGTTCTGGTAAATATGATACTAATATTTTTAATTCATCTTGTTCATTTTCAACTAAATCTTTTCTTCCAGCCTGAGAAAATTGTGTAATTGATTCTTGTCTGCGTTTTATTGCCCGATTAATCATTACATATATTTCTTGGTCGGTTGGAATGATACCCATTGTCTGTGAAGATGACTTGCTTGCGTATGTAACATCGCTAAGTATTCCCTAAGAAATTCGCTTTAATTTTATTAAATGTTAATTTTATTATTAACTAATAATAAATTGAAATATTTACCCGAACAACATTTAATTTCAATTGATCTTTTTTTCTCATGGCATCTTTAACTTCGATTCTCAATTTTGTAAGAAGAGAAGGTTGAACCTCCCCGCTAGTAGTTGTAAAAGAATAAGTTGAATTTATCGGCAATCTATGATACGTTAGGTATCGGATTCGATTAAACCTTTCCATGATCATAGGTCGCAATAGATTTAATCGGGTTATAGAGAAATTTGAAATCATTTTATTTATTTACAATTACTAAAAATTATCTGAAACGTTTTTTTTTTTTTTTTTGCTTTTTGATAATCGTGGTTAATCACATGATTGTAGTCGTTACACAATTTTTTTCGATGTATTTAACTTTTAAATCAAGCTTCCGACGATCTTTTTTAAAATATATTGAAAACTAAAGGAAAAAAGCAACTCCTGAAAAATAATAAAGTCCAAAATTTTTTCAATTAACTAGAATATAGCAAATCGATTAATTTCTCCAATCTTGAAATAAATAATTATTTTTTCGTTATAAGAAGGATAGAGAACAATTTAATCAGCCGGACTCGCGCTATCCCGAAAATTTTCGTGTTCTATCAAGCCTCTCCCATCGTTAATAAAATCATTACCATCTTTTCCAATATTATCTTTCTCGACTTGTACTGTATCAACTCCATTTTGATGATGATGTGGATTAACATCTCTGTTTTTCAATTTTTCTTGAATCCTTTCCTTTAATTTCACTTTTAATTTTTCTTTAAGTTTTTCTTTAACTCGTTGTCTTAACTTTTGTAGTCTTTCTTGTGGATCTTCGCCTGTATTCCAAATTTCATTTCCATTTTGATTAAATTCCAGTCTCGGCGCTCCAAGCTGTTCAACAGTAAACGAAGAGCTAACCGATCCATATAAAGCGGCTTCAAATACATCATAATTTGATCGAATTAATCCAGCCATAAAACCTCCGCAAAAAGCGTTCCCCGCCCCTGTCACATCGATTACATGATGATCTTTTGTACCATCCCTTAAAGTCGTCCAATAAGCCGGTATTATTTCTTTTTTTTCCTTAGTTGCTACTAAACATCCTTTATAAGAAGCTCTAATTACAACACATCCATTTCCATTAGGTCCAATTTGATACGATAAAAACCTATCTGCCATATACATCAACAAATCTTCAGATAAAAATCTGTCGACTTCTTCATCTTCCTCATTTATTAATCCTAAAAGTGCTGCCGCTTCTTCATGATTCGGTGATATTACATCAACCATTTTCATAGCCTCTACAAAAGATTGCAAATTCTCTTTTGTGGTACTATTTGGTACAGGTTCCCAAACAAAAATTGGTGGTGGTAATTGTTTATCTCTTAACCTTAAAATTTCTGTAATGTGTTGTGAGGCCCAACTTGATGAACAAATGAAGTGAAAAATTTTGGAATTTAGATAAGAGCTTGGTAAGTCGGCTGGTACCGTCCCTATTGGTGGTGTTTGATATACAAATATTCGTTGATCTGCGGATGTAAAAGTAGCTAATCCACGAATCGAAGGTAAATTCGAATGCCATATCTGTGTTAACGAAATATTTAATGATAACAATTTTTGTAGAATGCTAATTGGAAAATCATAACCAGCGTGAAAAGAATATGCGATCCTTTGAGATTCTGGTGAAGAAAACCATAACCTCATTCCTAATAAATTTTTTTTTTAAAAAAAAAAAGCCAAGTATATAAAATAAATGTTCGTTCGAATATAACAGTTTATATAATAAAACGAAAATATAATTACCGTATGTCGCATATACACCACCTCCACCTAAAACATTTTGTTTAAATGTCCCATCTTTAAAAACAAGTTAAGGAATAATATTTCAGAATTCGAAATAATAATTTACACTTCGCACGTCTTTAATAGTTAAAATACCAACCTGGAAGTTTTATGTCATTAATAATACATTGACTTAACGAACATAAGTAAGGATCAGCCATGTCAAGGAGAAATGAAAGAGAATTCAAAAATAAATAATATTACACTAAGGGGACAACCGTTGTTAAGATTAACGGAAATCCAATCAGCATCGACTCAATTTTTGAGCGGGCGGACATTTGGACGTCTCGTGTAACAAAGCGCAAAATATACCGTAAAGCGCGCTCTATAGTACCCCCGTGGAGCGACTTATAATATAAAGTACCTGGGTACAATATAGCGTCTCCATACCCGATACCACTATCAATTTATAATTTTTTTTATCACAATACAGCGAAATATATTTATTAACTTTTTATTTATATAATTGTACCCCATTAAGAATGTAAATACCCGGGTACTATAAAGCGCAAAGAGTGATTTTGCGAAGGATGATAGGTCTTTCGTTCTTAAATGATTAACTTTAATGAATAACTTATAACGAGTAACTTTTTCCTAAGTAATCATTCAATTTCTCTTCTTGGAGTATTTTATCGATTTTTTAAAAATATATGCAAAGATGTAATTAATCAAAGAAAATTCGAATAAATCATGGGTAACAGTTTTTATTATACGCCATGCCCCAACACTACATCGCAAAAAATCATTTATTATAAGTGATGACATTATTAAGAAAAGATGACAGAAAATTGCAAGCGAATTATATGATGTTATCAAAGAGAGTAAATGCGAATTCCAGCATCATTTTATTTCTTTGATCTCACATTTCAAAATTTTTCTGCAGCTAATTTGTATCAATATCGCTAACAAGAAAATTTTATTATTGAGTATAATAACGGTTCCTATAACATGAATAAAATAACATTTTGGCGTTACCTAGGTCTTTTCATATACATTCGAAATCAAAGTATTCATATTCATTCCTACCATTATGTTTAATTTCTATATCATTCCACTTCGCCTCACATTCAAGAAATTTTGTATCGATATGCAATATACTGCGCCAAATTCCAACATACCTTTGTTCGTTCGTTTATAGACTTGATTAATTTCGTTCGATTATTATTTTACTTGCACAAAGGATCCACTAACCAGCACTCTTGGAATCAATCTTTGACGTTAAATGTCTCTTTCGTTATATATTCTGGACTTAATCATAAGAAATTTTTACTTTGATTTACAGTAATTGCCGTTTTTAGTCATTAGAATTTTTTTTTCATTAAGTCTGCTCGTTATAATCTTACAGCGATATGACCTTATTAGGATAACTTACATGAGGAAACGAAGTAATGATAGTTTAGAGTAAGTCCTGTAATACCTTTTGGCGAGTCAGATTTCCTAAAATATTCGATTGATTTCAATTTGACGCGTTTTGAGTACTAAGTATAAAACTTCATTTTATGGGTCGTCTTCAAGTTTTTCTCAGCCCTTCTTTTTTTATGAAAAATTTGGTATTATCGCGAAGTATTTGTTGCAGTTTTCACAAATTTTTTTCTTTCCACTTTTTTACAATTTGAAAATATACTCAACACTCAAACACCTTTCGACAATATTTTTGGGCTTAGATATTTATAAGGGAGGTATCTTTTTCTTTTCTCCTTTAACAATCCCTCCATTTATTTAGAATAGTTTTATTTTCAAACTGTTTTTTATTTAACAATGAGATTTAGGTTTTCATGGTGATCAAGGATTTTAATAAGGGTTAAAGTTGAGGCATTTCATGTGGCATCTTTGTAGTTAGACTTAGGGTAGCGGTTTGGTGAATTGATGCAGATTACCCCCGTGAATTGCTATTCTGGCCCAAGAGTTGTTTAACGT